CATTGTTGTACTTTTCTCCCCTCCCAACCCACCCCCCAGCACACTCCCCTCTTGGAAAAGTAAAAGAAAAATTCTTTCATTATTTTGCAATCCTTCCCCCCAGGTCCACTTCACTATGCAGCCTTTGCTCTGGACTCCCATCATGACAAAAATACCTAATCACATATCCCTATTAAACAGTTTTCTCCCTCATCTGTTTCAATGAAGTATACTTTATTTATCCCATCTTTCTCAGTCTCTCCCCAACCATGAAGTCAGTCCTGTTTTACAACAGTGGCACCATGCAGTATTTGTCCTTTTGTGACTGAGATACTTCACTCAGCATAATGTCCTCCAGGGTCACCCATTTGAAATAATATTGCATGAGTTCCTTGTTTTTCAATGCAGGGTAGTATTCCATTGTGTGAATATGCCAGAGCTTCTCTATCCATTCGTTTGTTGATGGGTCCTTAGGTTGTTTCCAACTCCTAGCTATTGTGAACAAAGCTGCAATAAACATGGGTGTGCATATATCTGCTTGGGTGGCCGTTCTGGTTTCTTTGCGGGTGTATTACCAATAGTGAAATTGCTGGGTCAAATGGTATTTCTATTTGCAACTTGAGAAAAAGCCATATTGCCTTCCATAGTAATTGCACCATTTTACACTGCTACTAGCAGTGAGTAAGGGTTCCAGTTTCTCCACAACCTCGCCAGCATTTGTTGCTTGCTGTTTTAAATACTGACTGTGAACTTCTTTTAGACTTTCAGGGACTCTTTGTTGATGTGTATTCTTCTTCTGTTCAGTGTTTACAGGCACTAGAGTTTTTACATGCCAATCAAGTGATCCACAGAGACATCAAAAGTGACAATGTGCTTTTGGGGATGGAAGGATCAGTTAAACTTAGTAAGTAACAAAAGACCAAGTAATATATTTATCTTAATAATATCCTGCCTTTTATTTAATAAAATAAAATTATTCTGCTGTTAATATTTTTGTGCTTTAATCTATGGCCAAGTGAAGGGCAGGAGTGCAATAGTAAAAAATCAAGAACTCTTCGTTTTTTTACTTTCGGATTTTTTTGGGGGGGGGTTTACTTTTGTTTTTTTAATGAAAGTTTATAGAGACTTTGGATTTCCAGTCATTCATTGTTACACAATTTCCTCCCTGCCCACCCTTCTCCCAAGTTCGATTTTCTCTTTGAATAGTTAAAAAAAAAAATTATTTCATTGTTATACAATCCCCCCATCACTCTCCTGCCTCGTGCAGGCAGTGCCCCGCCCCGCCCCCACCCCCCACTCCACTATGCAGCCTTCATTCTGGACTCTTGTCATGACAATAATACCTAATCATGTTTCTCCTCAACAGTTCTCTCCCTTATCTGTTTCAATGCAGTATACATTATTTATCCCCTTAGATTCCCCCCAACTCCGATGTCAGACCCACTTTAGAACAGTGGGTGGCCCTATGCAATATTTGTCCTTTTGTGACTTGAGATATTTCACTCAGCATAATGTCCTCCAGGGTCACCCATTTTGTATAATATTTCATGAGTTTCTTGTTTTTCAATGCAGCATGGTATTCCATTGTGTGAATATACCAAAGCTTCTCTAGCCACTTCCTTTGGGTTTTTTGTTTTTTGTTGGTTTTTTTGTTTGTTTGTTTGTTTTCTCTCAGTTCAATGAAAGAGACTTTATTGAGGGCCCAGGGTCATGGAGCTCAGAAGAAGGCCACCTGCAAGAGGCAAGGGAGCCAGTGAAGAGAGGGCTCTTATTTGACCTTCTTCTTGGGGCGCAGGTTGTTGGTGTGCCCATACTTCTTATGGCAATTGACAGCACGGGGATGTAGGCGAGCATAACACTTGCAGCAGATCATCTTGTCACAGTTGTATTTCTGGGCGAGCTGACGCAAGGAAGGCTCAATAATGCCACCACGAAGATGCAGCACCAGATGCAGGGTGGACTCTTTCTGGATGTTGTAGTCTGAGAGTGTACGGCCATCCTCTAGTTGTTTGCCCGCAAATATCAGACGCTGCTGGTCAGGAGGGATGCCCTCCTTGTCTTGGATTTTGGCTTTGACATTCTCGATGGTGTCACTGGGCTCGACCTCAGGAGTGATGGTCTTGCCAGTCAGGGTCTTCACAAAGATCTGCATCTTTGCGTCTGCCGCTCGGCCGCCTCGCTGTAGAGAAAGAGGGCGACCGCCGCTTCCTTTGTTGATGGGCACTTGGGCTCTTTGCTTTTGGGTGTGCATATATCTGCTTGGATGGCAGTTATGGTTTCTCAAGGGTATGTTCCCAGTAGTGAAATTGCTGGGTCAAATGGTATTTCTATTTGCAACTTTTTGAGAAAAAGCCATATTGTCTTCCATAGTAATTGCACCATTTTACACTGCTACTAGCAGTGAGTAAGGGTTCCAGTTTTTCTACAACCTCACCAGCAGTTATTGTTGCTGTTTTGTTAAAGTTTGCTGTTCTTACTGCGGTGAGATGATAGTTGTTTTGATTTGCATCTCTCTCAGAGCTAGGGATTTTAAACATTTCCTAATGTGTTTGCTCACATTCTGAATGTCTTCTTTAGTGAAGTGTCTGTCCATATCCTGTGCCCATTTTTCAGTTGGGTTGTTTTCTTTTATCTTGTTGTTGTGCTCGAGTATTTTATAAATTCTAGATATAAGTCACTTATCTGACATGTCATTCCCAAATACTTTTTCCCAGTCTGTGGCTTCCCTTTTTACCCTGTTGGAGAAGTTTTTGGATGTGCATAGGTATTTGATTCTTAGAAGGTCCCACTAATCTATTTTATCCTTTACTGGTTGTAGGTTTTTCAGGATACTTGGAATACTGTTTATGTTGTGGATTAGGGCTTCTAGAGTTCTTCCAAGATTTTCTTGAATGAAGTTTATTATAGTTCTTGGTTTTAGTCCTAGGTCCTTGATCCACTTTGAATTGGGTTTTTGTGTATGGAGTTAGGTGAACTCTCAGTTTTAAATATCAGAATTATCACTACTTGCTAAGTAATTTGGGGCAGGTTAATCTCTGTGTTTTATTTCCTTATTTGTAAGATAAGGAAATTAAGAGTACTTATCTCCAACAATCCTTCAGATGATTGAAAATGTGAAGCATTGAGGAACAGTGCCTAGGACTGTCCTTGTGATGATGGTGCGTTTTAGAGATGAATTTGTGCTGTCCATTAGAGTAGTTGCTTGCATCATGATGTTAACACTTTTTTGAATGAACTCTGTAGATAATGGCCTAACCAGACAAATAATATGTGATCCTGATCTTAGGAATGACAAGGAAAGAAAATTTTACATAAACCGTCTTCTTTCATAATCTTGTCTCAGATGTAGTAGTGGCATCTAATCATTTTGAATTCTGTGTTGTTCTCTTTTCAGATCCAATCATACTAGAACAGAAATACCACAATTGGATGGCTAAAGCAAAAAGAAATGAACTCTCTCACAGTTCAAGGGGCTAGAACTCCAAATTTAGAGCATCAACTCCAGAAGCACGCTTTGTCTCTGGGCTCTGGGGGGGTGGGTGGGGGTGGGGGTGTCCTTGTCTCCTTTCAGCTTCTGTGGGCCAGCATCTGGGACATCACAGAGGTGTCTCTATGTCTTGGCTCCAGTCCTCCCCTTTGTCCAAAGGGCATGTGCCACTCCTGGCTCTTGTGAGATAAAAGGTGACACAGACTCCAGGAAAACTTCCCTTATATTAAATCTAGGCAAATTGGAAATCCACATTCTCATACAAACAAATGAAAAATAAATTGGACCTTTTTTTAAAAAAAAAAAAAAGGCTCTTTCATTTTATTGCATGAAAGTGTTACACTAGTCCAAGTTCAAAGTGGACCCCAAATGGTTACGTTAGACAAGCTGTGAAGTTTTAAACTTGTGACAAAGGACAGAAGGGAAATTTTCTACTCATTGCAAGGAAATCCTCACTTAAGCTTCAGTGAGCCACAAGCACTTAAAACCCATGAACCTTCAGCTGGTCGTCCTTAGCCAGTCCAGTCTCCACAAGGAACTGGCATATGTTCTTGCGCTGGTCACCCTGTAGCTGAATTACTTCTCCATATTCTGGATGCTCAATTACGGAACCATTGCAGGCAAACTTCTTAAACGCCTTCACTAGTTTCTTTTTAGCATAATCATCAGCGATCCTTTGGACATTGTACAGGTCTTCCTGCCATTTCTCTGTTGAATTCTTACATGGATATAATCCTCAGTCCCAGCAGGAAGCAGGTCATCACCCTGGGGTCGAAAGAATGGAGGTTCTGGATAACGGACGTACCATACGGATTCCTTTTCCTCGGTGGAAATGACCTGTGGAAGGTGGTGGTGGGAGAAGGCAGGTGGGGGATACGAAGCATCGGGAAGCAAGGGGAGTCAAGGGGGAGGCAGCTGAGTCCTCGGTGGCAGCTCAGTGATTGGGGCCTGGACATTTTTTTATAGTTAACAGGTTTTTTGTGGGGTTTGTTTTTTATTTAAACAACAGTTTGTTTTGTTTTTTAGCATTTTTTAAAATTTATTTTAATGAAAATTTACAGAGACTTTGGATTTCCATTCATTCATTGTTGCACTTTTCTCCCCACCCACCGCTCCCCCCAAGTATACTCTTCTCTTCAAAAAGTAAAAGAAAAATTTCCCCATTGTTTTACAATCCCTCCCCCCAGGTCCACTCCACTATGCAGGCTTCGTTCTGGACTCCTGTCATGATAATAATACCTAATCACATATCCCTCTTAAGCAGTTTTCTCCCTCATCTGTTTCAATGCAGTATACTTTTTATTTATCCCATCTTTCTCATTCTCCCCCCAGCCCCAGTGTCAGTCCTATTTTACAATAGTGGCACTACGCAGTATTTGTCCCTTTGTGACTGAGATACTTCATTCAACATAATGTCCTCCAGGGTCACCCATTTTGAATAATATTGCATGAGTTCCTTGTTTCTCAGTTCAGCGTAGTATTCCATTGTGTGAATATACCAGAGCTTCTCTATCCATTCGTTTGTTGATGGGCACTTGGGTGTTTTTCCAACTCCTTGCTATCGTGAACAAAGCTGCAATAAACATGGGTGTACATATATCTGCTTGGGTGGCAGTTACGGTCTCTCTGGGGTATATTCCCAGTAGTGGAATTGCTGGGTCAAATGGTATTTCTGTTTGCAACTTTTTGAGAAAGTACCACACCACCTTCCACAGTGGTTGCACCATTTTACACTTCTACCAATTTCCCCACAACCTCAGCAGCATTTGTTGCCTGCTGCTTTATAAAATTTTGCTATTCTTACTGGGGTGAGATGATACCTCATAGTTGTTTTGATTTGCATCTCTCTTAGAACTAGGGGTTTTTAACATCTATTCATGTGCTTATTGGTCATCTGAATGTCTTCTGTGGTGAAGTGTCTGTTCATATACTGTGCCCATTTTTCAATTGGATTGTTTATCTTGTTGTGCCCAAGTATTTTATAAATTTTAGATATAAGTCCCTTATCTGACATGTCTTCACCAAATACTTTTCCCCACTCTGTGGCTTCCCTTTTTACCCTGTTGGAGAAGTTTTTGGATGTGCATAGGGATTTTTTTTTTTTAGTTTATATTTCAATGAACATCTACAGAGATT